TCACGAGGTCAGGAGATCGAGACCATCCTGGCTAACACGGTGAAACCCCGTCTCTACTAAAAATGCAAAAAAATTAGCCGGGCAAGGCGGCGGGCGCCTGTAGTCCCAGCTACTCTGGAGGCTGAGGCAGGAGAATGGCGTGAACCCGGGAGGCGGAGCTTGCAGTGAGCCGAGATCGCGCCATTGCACTCCAGCCTGGGCGACTAAGCGAGACTCTGTCTCAAAAAAAAAAAAAAAGAAAAAGAAAACAAAGGCTGAAAAGGATCAAGCTAGGGGAAAACATTCCAGGCAGAAGGCATACAAAAGCTGTGATCTGCAGTTAGAAAACGCTTGCCTTGTTGCTCCACCTGTCTTTGTATTACAGTCACTTAACAAATTTCAGTCCTGGGTGAAGTCAAATCCTTGCTTTCTTTGTGCTTACTGTGGAGAAAATTACTTAACAGAGCAGAGAAATCACTTTATATTTGAGGGCACTAACTCAATTCAGTCTCCATTTCTCTGGTCAATTTGTTCTCCTACTCTCTGCAACTATTATTTCAAAACTTCTCTCTCCTTAAAACTCTCTACCTGCCAACCCTCTCACTCTCAACAAATGAACTCAACTCTTCCGAGAGAAAACAGAAGTCTAAGACAGGAACTCCCTCAACTCCCAAACTCCCCAGGATGTGTCGCTGTTAAAACAGAGGAGTGTTTCTTCTCTAAAGGTTAGTCATTATGAATGACTAAGAATTCACTCACAAATTCCTCTCTTCCCACCATCTCAGCAACATTATTCTATCCATATCTCCCTGGTGTACAGCATTCAAATTCAATCTGTGTCCATCTCGTGAGCGTTTATTCTCACTTCAATGTGACAGGAGACCTCTGAAATCAGAACTGTATGAAGATTAAATGGGCTGCTGCGGGAGAAAGTTGCTCACCCTTGGAATTGTTCAAGAATAAACTGGATGCTTGATTCACAGGAGAGAAGCAGAGGATTCAAATGTAAATTTGGAAGTTGAACCAGGTGCATGTCAGACTTCTCATTTTAAGTTCTGATTCAAAGATAATAGAAGTGGTCTACTGAAAATCTCTACTAAATGTTAAGTTTTGCACAGCCAATAACTAGATCCTTAGATACATCTATGGATTTTTCCTTATGATGGATACATACTTACAGGCTATATGCCTGTCATCAAATTTGAAACAAATAGCTTTGACAATCAACTATAATGATATGCACAGGGATCCTCTTCTTCATCTACACCCAAAGATAAAGCCAGATAGCAGGCTGCAAGCTCCAACTAAGTTAGAGTAATTAGGAACTCTCACCTACACTCTGGTTTCACAGACATTCAGATGATAACCAGGGGCAGAAGAAGTACCATCTGCATTTCCTCATGTACTTATCCAGCCTATTCAAGGTAAAAGCACATATGACTAGAATTCCCCTCAGAATATGCCTCAATCAATTATACAAACAAGTTACTTTTTTGTTTTTTGAGACGGAGTCTCGCTCTGCCCCGCAGGCTGGAGTGCAGTGGGGAGATCTCGGCTCACTGCTGTGACAACTTCTGAGGCTCAAGAGATTCTCGTGCCTCAGCCTCCTGAGTAGCTGGGACTACAGGCATGCATCACTACATCTGGCTAATTTTTGTATTTTCGTAGAGATGGGGTTTCACCATGTTGGCCAGGCTGGTCTTAGATTCCTGGCCTCAAGTGATCTGCCTGTCTTGGCCTCCCAAAGTGCTGGGATTACAGGCATCAGCCACTGCACCTGGCCAAACAAGTTACTTCATTCTCTTAACAGATTTACCTTTTAGGAGTTTCATCCAAGTTTGTATTTATCTGATGAGAACAGTGATAACTGTTGTAACCTCAAGCTGTATTCTCACTATAGATTTTCAATATGTATAATAATAATTCAAAGTTTAGAGGACAAAGGCTCTGCCATAATATTTCAATTAATATAAGCTAAAGTACAGCTTTTATGTATACTGTTGATTGTTTTACACACGGGAACTCTTTGATACATGTTTAGAAAAATCAACTTTCAGAATAAATGGTGTGTTTGTGTGTATGTGATGTGGAAGTAAACTGAGAAAAGTATATAACTAGTATACTGTCTCTTTAAAATAAAATTATTTTCCAAGATCTACTAAATTCAGGACCTAAACGAGTATGTCTTGTATTGATGGTATTCTTAATTGTTGACTTTCAATAATTAAAAAAATAAAAACGTCACTGACTAAATACAGCAATGATCCTTCATAACTATATTGTCTCTAAAGAAAGTTACTTTTATGGCTTTTTCATGCCACAGTTCCTAATAAGCCAAGAGTTATTCTTTGTAAAGTAAGAATAATGTTATTTTGCTTGAAACCATATACAATCCAATAGTAGTAGAATGTATTTGAAGGCCCAAATAAGGATTTTTTGTGTATATTTCAGTCTCTTTTCCTAACTTTGCATATTCAAAGCTAATAGAATATTTCTTAAGAATTAAAATTATTTTGTTTTAAAAAAATTTTTGGAATCCCACAGCTCTGGCTTATTTTCTATCCATCAGTATCATAAAAATTTATTTTAAGCAGATACTAAATCTAAAGGTAATTTTTAAAAAACACAAGGAAGATAATTCAATGGTCCACTCTGAATAGGCCCTTCCTTTTGTCACACTCAGTATGGACTTTAATAAGAAAAAACTTGTAATATTAGACAACCCTACAGCCAACATCTCACTCAACAGGGAAAAGTTGAAAGCATTCCCTATAAGAACTGTAACAAGGATGCCCACTTTCCCACTCCTATTCAAAATAGTATTCTAAGTCCTAGCCAGAGCAATTAGGCAAGAGAAAGAAATAAAAGGCATCCAAAATGGAAAAGTGGAAGTGAAATTATCCCTGTTCACTGATGGAGTGATCTCATTATATATAGAAACCCCTCAAGACTCCATCAAAAAATTTTTAGATTTGATAAAAGAATTCAGGGAAGTTTCAGAATGTAAAATTAATGTGCACAAATCAGTAGCATTTCTATACACCAATAACAATCTAGCTGAGAACAAAATCAAGAAAGCAATCTCATTTACAAGAGCTACCAAAAAAAAAAAAAAAACCTAGAATATATTCAACCAAGGAGGTGAAAGCTCTACATGGAAAACTACAAAATACTGATGAAAGAAATTGTAGATGACACAATGAGAAAACATCCCATGCTCATGGATTGAAAGAGTTAATATCACTAAAATGACCTTACTGCCTAAAGCAATATACAGATTGAATGTAATTCCTATCAAAATCCCAGCATCATTTTTCACAGAATTAGAAAAAAAAAAAAATCCTAAAGTACATATGTAACCACAAAAGAGCCTGAATAGTGAAAGCAATCTTGGGCAAAAAGAACAAATTACACTACAAGGTTATAATAACCAAAACAGCATGATACTGGTATAAAAGTAGGTACATAGATCGATGGAACAAAATAAAGAATCCAGAAATAAAGTCACATATGTACAGCCAACTGATCTTTGACAAAGCCAAGAACATACACTGGGGAAAAGCTACCCTTTTTGATAAATGGTGCTGGGAAAATTGGGTTGCCATACACAGCATAATGAAACTGGACCCCTATCTTTCAGCATATAAAAAAAATCGACTCAAAACGGATTGAAGACTTAAGACCAAAAGCTATAAAAATACTAGAAGATAATCTAGGGAAAATTCTTTTGGACACTGGTCTAGGCAAATAATTCATGACTAAGACCTCAAAAGCACAGGCAACAAAAACAGACAAATGGGACTTAATTAAACTAAAAAGCTTCTGCACAGTAGAAGAAATAATCAACAGAGTGAACAGATAATCTGCAGAATGGGAGAAATATTTGCTAACTATGCATCCTACTGGGGACTTATATCCAGAACCTCAAACAACTGAATAACAACAACAACAACAACAACAACAACAACAAAATAATCCCATTAAAAAGTGGGGAAAGGACATGAATACATTTTTAAAAGAAGACATACAAATAGCCAACAGACATATGAAAAAATGCTTAATACCAGTAATCATCAGAGAAACGCCAATGAAAACCACAATGAGATACTATCTTTCACCAGTCAGAATGGCTGTCATGAAAAAGACAAAAATAGTAACAGATGATGAGGATGTGGAGATAAGAGAACAATAACATGCAGCTGGTGGGAATGTAAACTAGTACAACCTCTGATGAAAAACAGTATGGAGATTTCTCCAAGAACTAAAAAGAGAACTACCATTCAATCTACCAATCTCATGACTGAGTATCTACCCAAAGGAAAATAAATCATTATATCAAAAAGGTACCTGTACCTGTATGTGTCTTGCAGCACTATTAACAATAGCAAAGATACAGAATCAACCAAAGTGTTCATCAATGGATGACCGAATAAAGTACAGTACATATACGCAATGAAATACTATTCAGCCATAAAAAAATGAATCATGACTTTTGCAGCAATATGGATGGAAGTGGAGGCCACTATCTTATTTGAAATAAGTCAGACACAGACAGACAAATACCACATTTTCAGTCACAAGTGGGAGCTAAATAATGTTTACACATGGATGCAGAGTATGGAATAAGCAGTGGAGACTCAGAGCATGAGAGAGTAGGGGGTGGATAATGAGAAATTACTTAATGGGCACCATGTAAGTTATTGGGGTGATGTATAACCTAAAAGCCCTGACTTCACCACTATGCAATCTATCCAATCAAAAATTTTACACTTTTACCCCATATATTTTATACAAATAAAAAAATAAACACTTTGGTAACTCATAATAGCAGAGGCAGTACAATTAGACAGTTCTACACCCTAAAAATGACATATGTTAAATAAACATTAATATTTTTTGTACATACATGCACATGTAATATACACACACGTATTTACTTTATAGATTCTATCAGCTGAGAACCTTAAAATGTCTTGGAATAAATGAAAATGAAGCAAATGACAAGGAAAACAGTCTCTTACCTGGTAGATATCAGAAAGACTGCTGCTTCCAGAATCACTAGTGATACTACATCCTGAATGGCTAGAAGAAACGTGGGTCACCTGTGGGTGGAGACTGTCAGTAAGATGCAGTTTTGTGAAATCTGCAGGAAGCTATGGAAGGAGCAGGAAAAACTAGGATTACAATCTGAATCAAGAACTCCAAGAAGACATTTTAAAATTAAAATATCATATTTTATTCTATCCCATTGAAGTAAAAATGGTATTCATTTTCCACATTCACAAATTACTAAATATTGTCTTATTTACCAAAAATCACATAATAATTTTTAAAGTGTATGAGCACACAGTAAGCCTTAAATAACACTAATTCAATGCTTTAAATAGGTGGGTCTGGTGATTAAGATAAACTTGGGTATTTAATTTAGTTAGCTAAAATTTTCCAATCACACATCAATGAGCAAATTAGGCTACTACTATTTATTAGCCATCACAAATGTAACTTTGTGGCAAAAAGCAGTTTAAACAAGAAAACACATTTAAGCTTCTTTTATACCCAAATGATGTTTAAAGGTTAAGAAAAAAGAGAGCATCTTAGAATTGATGAAGTATACTGCCATACAAGCAACTGTACTAGGCTCTACAAAGAAGAGAGAAGAATGCCATCAAAGATCTTAGAATTGAAAAAGTTATGGACAACACTTACCTATCTATACTCATATACATAAATATCAACTTTCTACATGTTCATGTTTAAATAAAAACAGTCTCTATTAAAATAAACACATTCACTAAGCATCTTTTATGTGTTCTGCATCCCTTATATACCAGAGAAAATGCATTTAAAAAAACCCACTCATACAATGGCATATTTGACAAATATTTACTGAGTCTCTTTTCTCTTATTATGCCCTAGTCATGTGAGAATCTAAGAAAACAGATGTAATGTTCTGAAGAATCTTACACTCTTATCAGTTATTACCAATTCTTTTGAATAAAAAAGGCATTCTATTTATCTATAATATCACATATTATACTACTGAGCTATTAAACAGCATTTCAAAATACATGTTAACTAGCATCATGAAATACTGATAACACTCCCTTTTTCCTGCATATTGATCCTATTTAGCTGGTGAATAGTTATAAATATAAGGACTAACTGTTAAAACTTAAATAAATGTTAACCTTAGTAATACTCCCATCTACCTTTTGAGGCTCATTCCCTCTCCCCCTCCAAAATGTTAGGGCATAGTTTAGAGTAGGCCTCACAAGGGAGACAGTTCGGATTTGTGACAATGCTCAATGGATTTTGATACTTCAGAGCTCCAAGTAGGCAAAATGTATTTATATCCCATATTAATTCAGACCTACTTTCTGAATGGATTATACCCCCTCTACCTTAAGTGAATTATATTGAACAATATTTACATACAATCTGTTTAGAAATAATAACTTTATGGGATACGAGGCATACAAAGGGAAGATTTAAACATGAACTTCATAGGGGCATATAATTAGATGCCAAATAAATGGAGAAAAATCTATTTGTTGAGGGAGCTTGGAGAAGTGAAATAATCGCAAACCTATCTTATTAACAGTGTTTATAAAGAAACTGGTAATTGAAGATGTTGTAAAATATGTAATATTTAGGAGAATAACAACTTATCTGTAAGGGATAGGCAAATACCTCTAAATTCAGAATTTATATGTTTCATTCATAATGTAGAATAGTGAAATATTTGCAGGACTTCTTCAGGAACAATTCCAAGATACAAGTTTACAGATATGTATTAATGACTATAATTTTACATGTAGCTAAATAGATGGTGATCAGATATTAAAATAAATAATAGGCAGGATAGAGACCCTTCATTGTCTTAGCTACTCTTCCATTTAATTCAGTCACTTACTGCAGAAGGCAACTGGGGAAACATTACTCTATGGCTTAGAGATGTTAAAAGGCATCAATCAATACATGTAATTAGAGAACAATAAACTGATTTCTATTGATTATCTTTTGCAGACATGACTCAGGTTGACATGCCACATAGTGTATTTTTTTTTTTTAATTAATGTGTCAAATGAAGATAAAACAATCTAATGAATTTTTTTTTTTTTTTTTTTTTTGAGATGGAGTCTCGCGCTGTCACCCAGGCTGGAGTGCAGTGGCCGGATCTCAGCTCACTGCAAGCTCCGCCTCCCGGGTTCACGCCATTCTCCTGCCTCCACCTCCCGAGTAGCTGGGACTACAGGCGTCCGCCACCTCGGCCGGCTAGTTTTTTGTATTTTTTAGTAGAGACGGGGTTTCACCGTGTTAACCAGGATGGTCTCGATCTCCTGACCTCGTGATCCGTCCGTCTCGGCCTCCCAAAGTGCTGGGATTACAGGCTTGAGCCACCGCGCCCGGCCAATCTAATGAATTTTTACACTTTATTTATTCAGGTCTCACAGAATTCTCTTCTCTTTAGAATCCATCATCTGGTCATCTTCCCTGACTAAGAATTCACTGTATGGAGAGCACTAGGAGCTGTAAGAGCTCCAAACCTAACAGAAGAGACATTTATCCAGCTTTTAGATACCACAATCTATTCATTTGTGCCTACTTACAGTCACAAATATCAGAATTACATGGAAATGTTAGGCCCAGAACCATAAGACTGTCAAAAGAGAAATATTTTTGCTTTTAAAAATTCAATTATATTTAATAAATACTTATTGAATATCTGCCGTGTCATACACTCTGCTAGGGGCAGAGAATATCAAGATAAGTAAGACATTCCTAACTCTAAACCTCTACTACCTCCAAATTCACTGTGTGACAGGTGTTACAAACAATAGAAAATAAATGTTTTTTATTTTTATTTTTATTTTAAAGACACAGACTTCCTCAACTGTCCAGGCTGGAATGTAGAGACACAATCATAGCTCACTATAGCCTTAAACTCCTGGGCTGAAGTGATCCTTCCACCTCAGCCTGCTGAGTAGTTGGAACCACAGGCACATGCCACCATGCCCAGCTAATTTTAAAATTTTTTGCAAGTAATAAAAAAGGGTCTCTCTATGTTGCCCAGGTTGGTCTCAAACTTCTGGCCTTAAGCAATCCTCCCTCCTCAGAGGGCTGGGATTACAGGTGTGAGCCACTGCAAACATTGTTTTTATCTCTTTCTCTCCACTATCTGTGTTCTTTGCAGAATGGCATGAAATAATGATACATTAAAGTAAATGCATATATAAATTAGCATTAATTAAATACCTTTTAATATGAGATATGTAAGAATAGATGCCATGTTCAAAAAAACCTTAAAATCTTTTCCCACCAATTAGGATCACAATACTATTATTAATTTTTTTTTTTTTTTTTTTTTTTTTGGAGACAGAATCTTGCTCTGTTGCCCAGGGTGAGGTGTGGTGGCACAGTCTCAGCTCACTGCAACTTCCACCTCCTGGATTTAAGCGATTCTCCTTCCTCAGCCTCCCAAAGAGCTGGGATTACAGGTGCCCACCACCCCGGCTATTTATTTATTTATTTTATTTGTTTAAGCAGAGACAGGCTTTCACCATGTTGGCCAAGCTGGTCTCAAACTGCTGGCCTCAAGTGATCCACCTGCGCAACCTCCTAAAGTGCTGGGATTACAGGCATGAGTCACCACATCTGGCATTATTATTAAATTTTATTGACAATACACATCAGTCAAGTTATGGAATGGGAGATGTTACAAAAGGTGTTCCCATAAGGAAAGAAACTGAAATGCACTGATTTGGCTCTGCCATGACACTCTAATGGAATAGAGGCCTGAGCCCATGCCTAGGAAAAATGGAGTTTCTAGGAGGCAAATAAACCATGTAGGGGTTAAGAGTCAGGAGGCAGACACAGGGGCAGATGCCCATATTTAAACCCAAGGGCATCAGGGCAACAGAGATCTGAGGAATATATACAAGAAAGGCACAACATGACAGCAAGCATCCCTGACTCTAAACTTTTTCTAAGCTTGACCCAGTGCCAATTTAAATTACTATGTATCAGTATGCTATTTAATTAAATTACAGATTAAATTGAAGTTGTGAATTATCTTGCAACTGCAGCCACCATTTATACCAAATTCTGTTCAAAAAAAAATTTTATAAAGCTAGAAATATACAGTAATTACCTGAATAAAATCAATAATTAAGTTAATTAAATGAGAAAGTAACACATTTTATGTAATTTTAATACCAATGTATTTTCCAACAATTCATTAAGAACACAATTCCAAGGAATCTTTTCACCTATATTTTTCATTTTTATCACTTAAATATTTATTTTAATATTTGATTATATAAATATATTACTGCTTAATTTTTTTTGTTCCTGGAACAAGCAACCTATAGTCCTAAAAAACACCACCTGTGAATCACAATTTTAATAAACTACTCTTAGGCAAATGGTTGAATCACAGTTTAACTACAAACACTGCTAAATACATAAGAAACAAGGGTAATATTTAAATCAGGTTCTTAAATCAGACTTAGATTATATTAATTATATATTATATTTAAATCAGATAATATTAATTTTAGGTTTATGCATATATGAAGTAATACTTATAAAGTATTTATATTAGTATTAAAGTATATAAAGTAATACTTTATATAATACTTAAAGTATTATAATAAAGGATACTATATTTTCATTCAGCATTCATCCATCATTTATTGAAAGCCTGTGTTGTGAGGACTGAATAAATAAATGGGTGTGAAGGACTTAGAGAAGTGCCCGGCACACAGGAAGTAATACTTTATATAAGCATAAATCTAAAATTAATCACAGTTTCATAAAACCTTGGTATCATTTGTTTAATAATTTTTTGTTGTTTTATTATGTAGGACAAACAGATGCTAACATAATTAGCTTTGAAAAAATAAATTCTACACATTATTTAAGTCTCTATAATATATAAATAGGAATTTGATAATCACTGATTAATCTAATGGTTGGCATTTATAAAATCACTAGCTAATAAATGAACTCTACCTTGAACATAAAGACAATGAGTATGGATGCCTTGAAGTCTCTGATACCAATAAGTAAATACTCATAAGTAAATAAGTAATAACAAGTAAAAAAAAAAAAAGTTAAATTGGTAAAATACCTAAAGTTGGTGACAGTGCAG